AAACAACTCTTCCCTCCTTACCCGATCCAGACATCAAGCCTCCGTAGCCGGTGGAAATGTTAAGTTACCCATATCCAAAGGGTACATTATCCCAAAGCTCGCAGAATTTGATGGTAAACAAGGCAATGCCTAGGAGCACGTGGTGAGGTTCAACGAAACATTGGGTATTCATTGATCCAATTACTCCTTTCGCTTGAGGGAATTCTCTAACTCCCTCACCAAACGGGGTTTAAAGTTGGAAGTCCAATGAAACGGAGAGGGCATCTTTGATTATGTGAAGAGATTCCAAGATATGACGGTGGAATGTCACGAGACTGTTAGAATTTCCCATCTTTACCTTCACCTACTCCACTACACACTCCACTTCACCTACCTCCACTTCACCACACACTCCACTTCACCTAACCCACTATCACCTCCACTACACCTACTACCACATTTTCTTCTATATATAGATTGTATAGGAATTGTAATTTATCAATCTTGTAACAACATATCAATCAATAATATATATACATAATTTATTTTCTCTCTTTCTCTATACAGTATTTTCGCTTCCCCGGCGGGCGGCAACCTCACCTTAGCCGCCCGCCGGACCTCAACCTAGTCCGCTCAAATTGTCTACACATACCTTCACTCTTCTTCACCACCTCGCCGAAGCAAACCCAAACCCAAACCCAAAATCCCTCTAGGACATTCCGTCGCACACCCATGCTGACCTTCTTCAACCAAACACAGAGAAAGAAGATGGAAATGAGTTGGAGGCTGTCAGTGCCAAACAGTCGACAGCTTCAGAGTCTACTGCTCGTCGATCACAGCCTCGGGACCAACAACAACCTCCCAGGCCAATTATACAGGCACAGTCGGCACCATTTTTCGGGCAAACACAAACTCATCCATCAGAACTACAACCAGACAACCTGTTAGAATTTCCCATCTTTACCTTCACCTACTCCACTACACACTCCACTTCACCTACCTCCACTTCACCACACACTCCACTTCACATAACCCACTATCACCTCCACTACACCTACTACCACATTTTCTTCTATATATAGATTGTATAGGAATTGTAATTAATCAATCTTGTATCAATATATCAATCAATAATACATCAATATTTTTTTACAGAGACCATAGAGGACAATCACTTAGTTCAAATCTGTATAGAAAGAGCACTTGATAGGTACAAGTTACTTCTGGATAACCACAAGTTGCTGACCTTCTCGACATTAATTGAAGCAGCTTGGAGCATCAATACTTCTCAAAGTCTAGCTTCAAGGTTAGTTACAAGTCATTTGGAGGACCTTCTGTCGTTACGACTTCCTAGTCTTCTACTTGAAAGTTGCAGGGGAAGGGATTCACATGACAAAAGATGAAGCATTACAAAGACAATGATCTTTTCCTTAGAGAAACCTTCAATCCAAAAGGTGATTATTATGGACCCGTCAATCCATAAGGGGATTACTACGATGAAATCGAAGAAGTTGCCAACTATGAACGACAATGTGTAGAGAAGGGTCCGAATCATTATGCGAAGACCCTCCAAGATAACATCAAGTTCAAACAGTTCATCAATCAACTTGGGCTTTCAGGGGAAATGAGAACTGAAATTACCAAGTCCAATATCATGACACAAGCAACATTTGAGAAGGCCAGAATCCCCAAGAAACAAGTTGTGAACCAACCCATTGCAATTACGGGGCTCAAAGGACATTGAGAATTACTCTTGGCTATGTGACAGTCGGCCACAAAGTTTCACATAATTGAGCCTAGACAACCTATCATATGATCTTAGGGAGGAACTTGATGTAAGCAATTGATAACTACACTTTGGGCTCATCAAACTTCCAAGCGAATGTAGCACAAACAACACCTTATTCCCTTATCTTCGGGTCAGAGGTTGTGCTATCAATCGAGTTGGAGACACCATCTACTCAAATGTCACTTGCCTCTTCAAGTCTTATGCTTGTATTTATCTCAGAATAGACCAAATGGAATAACTCTTGGATTATGCCAACTTCCTCGCTAACTTCCTGCATCTGAGAGCGAGCCAAAAGAGTTCCTTCTTAGTTAGTATTCCCCTCTTCTCCAATAACCTCAATTTCTCATCTCTATCTTGAGCATTGGCAAAGGTCTCGACTCCTTGAGAATGCACAGAAGAAATTTCCTCTCGAACCACACTCTATTGCATGTCCGAGTGCCACTACAAGGAGTGCTCATCTGAGAAAATCAAACATGCATGTCCGAGAAGATCATAGACTTCTTGTACATGCAAGGGGCAAAATGTAAGAGGGGTTAGCTTGAGCACATTTAATTGATTAAGCCTAATCAGGGCCCAATTAGAAAGCCTAAAATTAGTGGGCCCGAAGATATCATTATCGAATGGGCTAGATTGCTCTAATCTCAAAAGGTTTCAGATCCACGAACTAGAGACCTATTTGAGCTTGAACTCGAAAGGGTTTTGAGCAAATCTAGAGATCCGAGCATTTGGCGGTTAAACTAGCCTATACTCGGGTTGAGGTGACACGACGTATAGAGTCCATGAGACTCGGCGATATTTGCGGCAGGGCATTGAACTACCCCTAATCCTTTGAGATAATTAGCGATCATTGGTTAGGCGTGACTAAGAAGAAGGGTTCACCGATAAGCTCTTTCTCTTCCGCAAGATTTTTCTCATCCTCGGGGAGATGACTTCTCAGACAAAGTTGTTAGAAAGAATATTCCCCCATGTGCCTTGCACATGGGGCTGCACCATCATGAGTCGCCTATATATAGGACTCACCCATAGCTTTAAAGAGGATTTTTGGCAGTTTACTTGGAGAGAACTAATCTCCAACTCTTGATTGCTTCTAATTGAGAATAAAAGTGGCAGATCCATGGAAGAGCTTTGTCATTATTCTCTCTCTAACTACTTTGCCTTCTTCTTCACCCAATCTCTTATCTCCATCATCTCTTTCCTATTGTGTTCATAGTTGCCACCGTTGAAGAATCTAAGCCTCTCTCATCACTTCTAGAGAATTCAAATTTTCTGGCGATCTTTGAAGTTTCTGGCAAGTTTTCCGGCAACGTTCTTAGACCCTCTCTTACACACTGTTATAAGGATCCTAATCGTCTGAGCTGTGAAACTATAGTTGCTCTAGAAGTTGGCTATTGTCACTTGTCCCAACACAATGCCCAATCCAAGTTTTTGAGAAAGATTTTTCCATGATGCTCACTAAATACAACATAGGTGCATGCCCCTATGTCATCTCCTTCATCCAGAGCCACAAAACTTCTTGTGCGATAACTAATTAATGAATAGGCGAAGATTCAAAAGCCTGAGAGGCAACAAAATATAAAGCCAGCCACAAAGATCATCACCAATAAGGTGAATTCAAAAACTACAATGAATACATTTGCAATTGACTGCTACCTGCCTAGCTGTACAACTCACATGTAGACAATTCAATCAGATTTCGAACACAACTATCATTGTACACAGCCAGGCACAGACTGCAACGTCTTCAACATACACAAGATAATTGCAGTTAGAAATCGAGCTCTATTTGTAATAAATTGGTCTAAAAACATCCTTGGTCCTAATTGCATTCCTAAAGTTACTGACTTTTGAACCATGATGCAAACTCAGAGGAAAAGTGAAACAGACTATACTCCATGTCATTCAGCACATGCAATTGTAACAGCACATGATTTTCTGGCTCTAGGCTTTTTATTGTGTACTCTACAGTGACTGTAGAGAGATTTTCCTATAGTTCATCAAAACAACGTCGGTTTGATCAAGACAAACAAACAAAAACAATTACTAAAACCAGAGAACCAGATCTCTTCACTCTCTGCCTTCTCTTCTTCCTTTTCTTTTTTCCTTCTCCCTCCCCCACCCTCTCACTGGCGGCCACCCAATCCCCACCGTCTCCAGCCGCCGCCGGCGAATCCTCCCTCACCCTCTCCATGCCCGGCAAAGAGGGAAGACCCAAAAAAAGAAAAAAAAGAAACAAGAAAGCAAAAATAGAGAACCGGATCTGTCCTCCCTCTCTGCCTTCTCTCTCTACCTTCTCTTCTTCCTTCTTTTCTTCCTACTCGCTCCCCACCCTCCCCTCTCGCAGGCAGCCACCCAACCCTCACCCTCTCCGTTTTTGAAAAAAAAAAAAACGTTTCTCAGAAGGAAAAAGGGAGAGAAGAGAAGAGAAGCAAAGCAAAGCAAAGCGAAGCGAAGACACCAAATGAAGTGCAAGAGAGAGAAATGGCAGCAGCAGACCCAGCGGCTACTGTCGAATTCTCCACCGTGCACCTAATCGAATCTGACCGAGTTTGCCAAAAAAATGCCTACAATCTCTTAGGGGTCTCCGAGACCAACTCATTCGCAGAAATCAAAACTTCGACTTCCCTCTGCTGAGGACGGAGATGGTGAGGGAGGATTTGCCAGCAATTAGAGAGGGTGAGGGTTGGATGGCTGCCTGTGAGAGAGAGAGAGGGGGGGGGGGGGGGGTTTGGTGTTGGGTTTGGAGGAGTGAGGAAGAAGAGAAGGTAGAGAGAAGAAGAAATCTTGTTCTCTTTTATTATTTTTTATTTTGTTTGGTCTTCATCAAAACGACGTCATTTTGATAAACTATAGGTAAATCTATCTACAGTCACTGTAGAGGATCCGAACACCTTTTTTATTTGTTAGCCCTAGTAAAGCCCCCACATGGCATAATTTTTTTAAAACAAGGTCCTCAGTAATGCAACATAAAGATTCCTTGTTCATAATTGATATTTATTTATTTTATTTGAAATTTCATTTTACAGAATAAACCTAACCTAAAACTGAACTAAATAACAAATCAAGCAAAGTCTACAACAGTATTGTACTAGAAAGAACAATGAAATGAATTGAAATAAATATGAGACGCAATTTAAAGATGTGACTTAGCTACCAAAAACAAAAGAGATGTAGAAAAATTTAGTATACTGTCAGACATAATTTTCAAATAATATGAACAGGAAAAACAAATTACCTGAAAACCATTATCAGTGTGGTTTATCGCATAATAAAGACCAGCAACCTGAGCATAATAAGCTGAAATAGACAAAATAGGAAATAAGCTCACCCTAATTTGGCTGATTAATAAGATTTTCACAAAAGATAAAGTCTAACAATAAATACACACCCATTTGCATAACCAATGGAGCAATACTGCTCTTCCATCCAGAAAAACAGTTATAAAACTCTCAAAAGCAGTCAGAGAAGATTAGGGCCGGTTAGGTAACATTTTCAAAAACCCTTTTCAGTTCCAAAAACAGAAAATACATAAATAATGACAAAAAACGTACGCTAGCTGAAATGCTTTTCAAAATCATTTTGAAGGTAACTCCCAAATATAGCTGATTACGTGCAAACTATTTCCAGAGTTTTCAAAAATTAGGGCTCATTAAAAAGGGATGTCTCAAAAAGAACGGTATTTTCAAACTTCCCATCATTTTCCTTTTTAAAGGCCTAGAAAACAAAAGGCAGAAAGGACCTTAGCTTTTTACTTCTCATTCTCTAAACAATTTAGTGACTCACCATATTCATTCAAGTAATCCATCAACAAACGTGTAAAAATGTCGGTAAGAACTTCTGCTTCAGGGGAATTGCCCGCATAGGGACAGTTAAAATCTATCCTAACAAATGCCTTAGGAGTGGAGAACATCGTATCAGGCTTGTACCACAATCTTGAATAGGATGATTTCCTCAACAGAAGTGGAAACTTAGCCTGTTACAAAGGCCAAACACATCAAGAACCTTAAGGATTCAAAAGATAGTTACACTGAATTAGATTGATACACAAATCATACCATCTCTACTACATTCTTAAGAGATAAATCAGTAGGAATGAACACATTGGGAGCAGGAAGATGAAGATGTTCATCAGGGGCTGATTCCATCCATTGCTGTAAGAGAATAAAGATTTTATACACCATTTTCATCTGATTCGAAATTGACCTACTTTCAGGACCAAACACTTTAGGAAACTTATTGGCATTTCATGTAACAAGCACCCAGCAACAAACCTGAATCATGGAAACAGTGATTTTCTCGACAGAGTATGCTGTTCCATACCATGGCTCAATCTTGTCAGTATGTCCTTCAAATTTTGTTGACTCCCAAAAGATTCTGATAAACAGAGAGCTTATTGTGATGGTAACCATATCTAAATATAATAGAACAGAGAACATAATCATAAATTTCCATCAACAGATAAGAAAACAAGGCCAAATATGTAAAACGAAGACTTAGAATCTACAATATGCAGAAATGGATACAGTAATAGATTTCAATTTGGAACATGTTTTAGAGATGAGTACCCATAAAATTGGCACATGTATATATGTGTCTTACCTGAACTTATATGTTTGTATGCATGTGAATGAATGGGTGCATAGCAGAGTGAACAATCAATAGTTGAATACACACACACACACACAAAAAAAAAAAAAACATGATGGGTAAATCACACTGACCTCCCTTGAAATATATAGCCATGACACTGACAGGGAGCTCCCTACAACATTATAAAAATTTTAAAGTCCAGTCCCCTTATGATTTAGTAACGTGTAATAAATTCTACTTGTGTCAAGGACCGTTCAAAGAGAAAAATCGAAATTGCTGATATCATGATATGATTTTATTTAAACACCCTTTTTTTCCCTTGGTGAAGTCAAGCACGAATCACAAAATCAATCGAGTCCTTCAAGGGAGATAATAAAATGTTGAATTACCCATTAAAAAGAAAGGGGGCATCATATAGGACTAGTTGAGTTAACCAAATCCTTATACTGCTACTTGATTAATCATACTCAAACTGAGCAAACTCAGTATCAGATGTGTGAGTCAATCCGCAATTGAACCAACAAACCTTCCCAAAATTCCTCCATTATAAAGTACTCCATCACAATCTCCATTGTGACATACACGACCATAATTTAAGAGCATCCACTACACACAACACTACGGAACCAAATTAGATCCACCTATATCAGCCATGTAACATCCACGCACAACATCCACCAATACAATTCATAGTGAAAGATTTATGCAATTCTTAAAATTAAGTCATCAGTCATCATTGTCACTAAACAATGATCTCCAAACTTTAGCCCCAACAACTCCGCCTTCTTGTCTTAAAGCTTTCGTACAAATTATTTAGGATAAGCAGAAGTAAGAAAAAGTATAAGGAGTATAATTTTAGTAACAGTAACAATGGAAGCAGAGGAGAAGTAAAGATTGAGGACCAAGCACTACCTAAAAATGAACATTTTTGTTATTTAGGATCAATTATCACAATAGCTAGGGAGATTGGAGCGGATGTGATCCATAGAATTAAGGCATGATGGCTTAAGTGGCGGAGTGCATCTAGGGTATTGTACGATAAATGAGTACCCACTAGACTAAAAGGGAAGCTCTATAGAACGGTTATTAGACCAACGATGTTGTATGGAACGGAATGTTGGACAACTAAGAAACAACATATAGATAAGATGAGTGTTTTTGAGATGAGGATGCTTAGGTGGGTGTGTGATAAGACTAGAGAAGACAGAGTCAGGAGTGAGTATATTCGAGAATGGGTAGGAGTAGTACCGATAGAAGATAAGTTGAGGGAGAATAGATTGAAATGGTTTGGTCATATACTGTGACGATCCCGACATATGTATTATTTTTATATATTATTTCATTCAGCATATTTGCATGATTATGTGCTTAATTGATGCTTAACTGTTTGTTTGTGAATTATCTGTTAGAGTTCAGACTTAGAATTCAAAACTCAAAGCCTGAATGGATTTAGAAACCGAAATTGATTAGCTCAATAGGTTAATTGGAATATTTAGAACCATATAGTAAGTTTAATTAAAATTTGATTCAGATCAAAATAATTAGAATAAATTTATTACACTTGATTAGAAGTAACCTTTAATTGATTAGCTTTAATCCTACTCAATTAACCTAACTTAATCTACCTATATATATATGCCTTAATCATGCTTAGGAGTTCATTTTCATCATCTTCTTGAGCTGAATTTTGAGAGAGAGGAATTGTAGAGAATTGAAGAGAGATTGAAGGGATTAAGTTAGATTATCACCAAATTAAAGCTCTAGGTATGATCTTTGACCATAATTCAAGAAGATAATCCATGTAGAAAATTCAATTCACCAAGTTGTAGGACTATTTGCATGGATTTGTAAAAGATGAGCTAGAACTACCATGAATTTAGAGAATATGGGTTGAATTTGGACATGCATGAATCAATTTACCATTTTTGACTTTGATTTTTAAACATTCATACATGCATGAAGCTTATACATGTAGACTTGCAAGAATTTTCCGTGAATTCACACTTCTTAACTCAATTTACCATGTTTTGAAAGAAAAAAGTGAATTCAACACATGCATGGCAAGAACATTGAATTTGGAGCTTTGTTTTGGAAAATTGAAAGAGTATTTGAGGTTATGGTTTCATAAATTCCATGAATTCTTGTTTTACAAAAAGTTTCTTCACATTTCTACCAAGCCATGCAAGTTAAGAACATGAGAGTTGCATTTTTTAACTTCAAATTCTGTTATGGAAATTCCAGAATTCTTCCACTTTGCTCGAGCGATGAAGTCGTCGCTCGAGCGCACGTTGCATGCTCTCAGTATTTTTGCAGACTTTTGTAGTTGGCTCGAGCAACCAAGTGTGCGCTCAAGCGAACTCGACTTTGCATTGCACTGGCTCGAGCAAACATCGAACCTACTTTGACACCATCCAGTACTTTTGCAGACAAGCCACACCGCTTGAACGACCAAAGATGCACTCGAGCAAACTACTCTGTTTTCAGCATTTTTGAAATACACTTCTAAGTGCATATTTGCATCATCATGCCCTTTTTGGCATTCTTAAGCATTATTTAGACATCCTTAGCCACGGTATAAGCTAGAAACACATGTAAGAGAATCAAATTAAGATACGCTATTTGTTACGAACGTGTGTTTTAATGTGTATCTGTGTTATGTGTTTTATGTAGGTGGCCAACCGAGATCCAACATCTGTGACACTAGCCCACTGTGAGTAGTATCTTTGTAAAGATATGTTGAACTGTATTTTCAATTTACTGCAAGAATGTTATTCTGAAATACTATTTTGATAAGAATGAACGATTGTCTCTTTTGAAAAGTAACTGTGGCTTCATTAGTGTAACCCACGCCTAGGGGTAACAATACCATGGCCCTTTGTTATAAGGCCTTCACCCGAGGGAAACAATACCGTGGCCTTTTGTTATAAGACCCTCGCCAAGGGAAAACAATACCATGGCCCTTTGTTATATGCGCACAGAGATCTCTGATGTTGACCCAAGTGGTTCCTTTGCTTGACCTATACAGTCCCTTTGTTAGACCCATGTGGTCCCTTTGTTATGTCTTCGGGCCCTTTGCTTTGATGTATCACATATGAATATGATTTGTGAACTTTGATATGTCAAGTACTTATGCTTTGCTTCGAAACTCATATGATATGAATTTGTATCATGATAGACATCATTCATTTAACCTCTTTATACTGGTATTACTCACTGGGCTTTAGCTCACCCTCTTCCCCTATATATGTAGGTGAGCAAATGGAGCGTCGAGTTTAGAGCAACCACGGGAGTCCATCCTTCTGTAAAGCCGCTTTGGAGTGCCTCCGTGATGGGGCAATCTTGGACTCATGTGGAGCCAAGCTGTGTCAACCCTGTTGTTCTAAGTTATTTTGTTTTCTTTTCTTTTGTTATTTGGAAACTTGTATGTATGAATCTTTTGTACAAGTATCTAAGATGTTATGATGCACCTATGAGCTCATGTCCATAAAAGATGGTTGAAGTTTTTAAGTACTTGTGAATTTGGCATGTATGCACAGCTCGATGGACATAGTTATGTTTTTATATTGCTTCTGTTGTGCCCCGTTTACTATTATTAATTATCTGTTTTGTCTATGAGGCCGGGTAATTTGGGATTACTAGCCGGTCGCGGCCTAAACCTCTAGGGACGGGTTCAGGTCGTGACATATATAATTGAGACCAACAGAAACAATAATGAAGAGATGCGATACAGTAATGGTAGATGATAGTATTAAGGAAAGAGCAAACCTAGATTGATGTGGACTAATGTAGTAAATAGAGATATGAATCTCCTTAATTTGACTAATGATATGGCCTTGGATAAAGTTGAATGGAGAAAAAGGATTCATGTAGCTAACCCCATTTGATGGGACTTAGGCTTGTTTGGTTTGGATTGGTAAGCAAAGGTTTATTAACAAAAACTGTCAAAAATGGGGGCAAATCCTCTACATACAAAGGCCACAACCCATAAGCTTTACATCCGGAGGCATGTATGTCACATTTATCTACACAAAAGAATCAATAGAAAAACGAGACTCCACTACCAACCAAACAACAAAAAGGAGCAAAGATCCTTTTCAAGCTATTAACCGGAAGCTCAATGCCTTCAAAGATCTTCAGTTGGGCTCTCTCCGCACAGCCCACATAATATAGCAATTCGCTGAACCTTTCTATTTGAATATCTAGGACTACAAGAACTCCAAGAAACAAGGACATATGTCAATGAATACAGCAGCACCAATGTCATCCCAACAACTGCACACATCAGATGGCACAATTCTTGGCTACTAGATAATGCACAAGTAGACGATTCACAAACGCCCCCAACTGCTTACACATGCAACACCAATCAAAAAAAAAAAAATTTTTTTTTTTTTTTTTTTTTTAAAAAAAAAAAAATTTTTTTAATAAAAAAAAAAAAAAAAAAAGAGGGGACAAACAAAAACTACTATAAAGAAACATTTGGCCATGGTAATTAGTATGGCAAGATATGGAGATAAATGTGTTGGGTACTACAGAACTGGGTAAGAAGTAGCCTTCTTCTAAGATTCCATGCAGCAAGAGTGCCACCGTGATTCCAGTATAAAATGGTCTAATAAACCTCTCAAAATAATGTTCTGATTTATTTCAAATTGTTTGAAATATTATAGGATTCATGTTCATAAGGGATTTTACGGGAATTTTTACATGCTGACTGTCAGGATACCTAACATACAACCCTCTTCCTTAATTTGGGCTTGGTAAAAGATTAAATTCTAATCATCATA